CCCTTGCACCCCTGTAGTTAGTTACCTCTAAAATGAATCAGTCAAAAAGTTAACATGGAATAATTTGAGAACAGTGAAGCCCACAGCCTGTGGACTGTACATACACAATTATAGGGTTGAGAATACCAAGCTATTGCAGTCTTCTCATTAGCTGAAATGTCCCTGGATGCTTTAGAATATACTGGAATTATATTTAACTGACACCAACTGTTCTCCCAACATTTAAGGGTGACTTTTATGTATACTTTCTTTAGTCTCCTTTTTCTGATAGTAAGAATTCAACTGTTCCATAAACTTCATTTCCTCTGTGGTACTTTAGTGTATAATTTTCTGAAATGATACACTGTAAAAAATTGTGTTGTGGTTTTCTCTGGCATCTCCAGTAATCCTCTAACTTCTGTATTTATTTCTTTTGCTTTATTTCCAGATGACCGACTTGGGTATTCAGTATTTGTCTAAAGTCTGCCATTACCTCCACTTCTTGGACATCTCAGGCTGTATATGTCTTACTGACAAAGTACTGAATTATCTTTGGAAAGGGTGTACACAGCTCCGGATTCTGAAGATGTTGTACTGCCGAAATATTACCAAGTAAGATGTGCTCTGAGGCAAATTTCAGAAGTTGGTGTAAAATTGGAAAGAGTACAACTATGATGACAAATGTCTTATTAAATATTATTGACAGGAGACAAAATATGGTTTTTAATGCATCTAGTGTTCAAGTGACATATGTCACAGCCTGGCCTGATCCTCCTCCTATAGCAAATAGGATCACAACTGGATCTCACATACTTTGAGCTGGTCAGGCCACTGTTTCTACCAACAGTTCACTGTTTCTAGCTCTGGGTCTGTTCAGATTTGGATCTATATTCCCTATGTCTACCAACCTTTATTTGGAAAGGGAGCTGCTTAGTGCCTTAAACCATAAAGCCAATTCTTTAGGCTTCCTGATCCAACAGGTGCTTTTAAATTTTCCTCAGAGCATTGTTACAGCTAGGAATGGAAAGTAGGGTGGGCCCTAATGTTAGGTGGATGGGTAAGGACCCAAGGTCTGACATCACAGCAATATGGCCTACTCAGACCCACTCTTGCCACGGTCCTGGCATAGAGACCCAGCTGTGGGCACTCAATTAACCTCTTCAAAACCAGTGTGGAAGGCAAGCAAAACATTCAGGTATATTCAAGGAATTTTTTAATCTTGGTCAGTTTAAATCTTGAAAAACTCTGTTTCTGGATAAAATGAGAATTTTCAGAACCAAACTTGCTGTTTCTGTACACTGTCAAAACATGCCATAAACACCAGAAGAAATGTGTTTTAATTTCAAGCTTGCCCCCAGAGCACCAATAGATCATGCACACTTCATGTTCCTAGAGTTCCTCTGTTATGTATCAACCAGTGACCAGTCTTTTAGACCAGGGGTGGCCAACCTATTGCACGAGTGCCACAGACAATCTCTGCACATGGTACCTGGCAGATCAGGGTGGGTACAGGTAGCACAGCAGCCAATAGGACAGGAAGCAGAAAGCAGAGCAGGAGATCAGGCTGAGAACACAGGGCTGGAGGCACAAAGCAGCGGAGGAGATCAGGAAAGAAGTACAGAGTAGGGAGCAAAAAGCAGAGCAGCATATTGGGCAGAGAAAAGGGATCAGAGTGGCACTTGAGGAAGGCACAGGGCTAATTTGTGGCATGCCTGCCAAAAAGTTTGGCTTCCACTATTCTAGACTTTGCTTAACTGTCAAGGCCAGCCCTATACACAGCCAAGCACGTTTCATGTCACTATGTCACATTCCATTTGTCTTGTAAGATTAAAATAAAAACAAAATGGAGTCGCAACAACTTGTAGCTCAATATAACTCCACCAAAAATAGAAGCAAATGAAGAATCCATTCTTTCCAGTACTAGACACTGTTAAAGAATAACACGTGATAGCAGGCTGCAGACTTACTTAAATATTAATATAAAACAGAAACAGTGTATGAAGCAGACATCTCCTGATGCATATGTCCATATTTAGAGATTAAGGAAATGGTAACTAATCCTCCCTCTAAATTCTATAAAATACAGCACATAACCTCATGTGGAAGTAAGTGAGGCTGGTACCGAGTGCATTTTCTGCTGGAAGGGAAAGTAGGTTGGTCCCTTGAGTAGTTTCTTTCAAAAGCAGGAAGGTATCAGTTGCAATTCACTTTGGACAGTCTCTGCGATAAACTAAAAAAACTGCAGCTACAGAAAGTTATGGATGGAAAGGAGTCTTGCAGAAGTCACAGTGACACTGGAGGATATTTACAATAAAGTGTAGGACTCCTACTGCATCAAGTTAGCTGAAACACTAAGAATATTGAATATATTTTCTCTCCATGCACTTATTTTCTTGGGGGTGGAAGAGAAAGGAATGTTTCTGCCTCCATTCAAAGACCCCCACTAAACTGCCTGGTGCTTCCAACCAAAACATTGCTTGATTATGCTCAGTACTATGCTGGTTTACTCGGCAGCATTTTTAAAAGCAACAGGAGATGTTTCCTCCTTTTGTAGCTGTTACTTGTCTCAAACACTTAAACTCAGCATCTCAGCTTATTAATCCCTGACTAATAAGGAATAAAAGCTTTGGCATTGGGAGGTGATTGCTTTTAACTTCGATAGTTTGATATTGGTTATAAAAGGCATTGCAGTAACTCTTTCCTAAAAGGGAACATTTTATCAATATTTTCTGTGTGCTTAGTACATGTGAATGACAGAAAGGAAAGGCACTGGGACCTGAACAGTGTGGGCTCAGAAATGAAGGCAGCCAAAAGAGACCATACAAAGGTTTAAGAACTAATCTCCCAAACATTTGCAGCTTAGGAAACAAATAAAATATAGAACAGCAAGCAGTTCTCTTTCTGCCCACTGTACACTGATCTTTTTCAAATTTGACATGTGAAAACTTACCAAAGCACCTGGAGCATCAAGTTTCAGTTCACGGGGCATGTCTACTTGAGCTGGAAGCCATAATAATGATACTACTATTGCTGCTGGCGTGGCCTCAGAAGAGCTGGGATCTTGTCACTTAAGTACTCCTGCATAACCTGCCAGGGGTTTGGTGTATGCTTCCTACCTTTGCTGTTAGCTACCAGCTTTCCCCGTCCCTCCTTCCTTCATCTTTTCCAATCTTCTTGCTGCAGACAATTCTGCTATCACCATTTTTAAGCTTTTTGCCTGTTTTGCTTTTCTTTTATTAATTAATCCAACTTATCAAATAGCAAATTTAACATTTAAAAATACATTCAGTGCCCTAAAATATGCATAAAGACATATCAACAGTGCTCCCTTAACTCAGGACAATGTTCACAGAGGAGTCTTATGTTCCTGTCTTCTCTTCCCTTCAGTCTCTGACAGATGCTTTGTTTTAGTTGATGTTAAGCTTTTCTGTTTCTTCCAGTCTATATGCAATATAGTTAATCATTCACCACCTCTTTTTTCTCAGAGCTTTGCAAAATACAGAGTTCCTCATCTTCTACTCAACTCTGCTTTTAAATTTTGTATTCCCAAATTCTTCTTAGTTGTTGGCTCACAGAACTAGTATTTTCTTTCAATATTCAACATTTCTCATTATTTTTGGTCTAAAGACAGAAGATTCTTCTTAGCAGATTACAAGAATGCCTACCAAATTTCTCAAATGAGCATCCTTTTCCTTCTTCCCTGGAGGGCATGGACTTGCTAGGAGAGCTTTTCTGCTACTGAAACTTCCCAAACTTTTTAAAACCAGCCAGTGATTTTAACAGGGGTAAGGTGGCCTTTCTCTTCCAGGCGTTTCAGTTGTAATTCTTGCAGCCAGCAGGAGGTGAGCAAGTAAATCCTTAAGACTCTTACATGTTGCAGAGGTCTCAGGAAGAGAACACTAAGGGTGTGTCCAGATGAGCGTGGTCGTGTGGTACGTGGTGCCACATGCTGCACACGTCGGTGTTCTCCACGCTGCAAGGGCACACTGGCCGAGCATGCGCAGTGCCAGGTTTTTCTACAGGGTTTTCCGATCCCTAAAAAAAGAATTGTGGGGAAAAAACCCCCAGAGCAATGCATGCTCAGCCAGCACGCGCTGCTGAAAAGCAGAGTTGGGCTGGCCGTAGCCACACTCCACTGCCAGCCAGGCTTTGCTCGGCAGAGTTGCCACAGCTGCAGCCCTGGGAGGCCCCTGAGACTCCAGGTAAGGCTGCTGGGGCCAGCACAGTGCTGGCTCCAACCTCTCCTTCCCCACCTGGGGCAACTTGCCACGTGCCAAAGCATGCGTGGCATGAGCATTCCCCAGGGACAAGTAGCAGCAGCACAAGGTACACTGCCACTACCTGTCCCCAGGTAACCAAATGTCCACGCACATCTGGACACACCCTAAGAGGTTGTCTGATAGATGGTATCCTGTTATTTCCCTCACATCTCTAACCTGATCCTGGAACATTCCCACCAGATGTGACAGAATCCTCCGAATCCAGCAACAGCCTGTTACTGGACCATAAATACATTTACTTTTAAAGGGGGGGAGATAACATCGACACAGGATTTTAAAATTATTTTCTTTTATTATTGTGTAGATGGATGTATGAGGACCATTGTTTCAGATGGTTTCCCATTCTTCAGCACTCATTTCTGATTCAATAGCTCATTTTGTCATCAATAATGCCTATTCTTCTCTGCTGAGCTTTACATTTCTTTGGGCATATGTTAAAAAGTGTCTCTGTTGCAGATATTGGAAAAATGGGATTTTAACATCTCCTATTGTACACTGTATTTCTTCCAAAGATCAAAATACTTATTCTTTAAATATTCCAGAATTTGTGACACTGATATGTTCCCAGGTACTAAAGCTTCCTCATGTGTTACTAAGACTATATTCTTATTATTATATATAGGTACTAAAGGTGACAGGAATGAGCTTAATTTCTTATACATGATATCCCGTTTTCATTTTTCCTGTCTTAAAGGGGTGGTTGTGTACTGAATTTGGCCTGGATGATTTTTTCAACCATGTTACGTTAGAAATTTAGTTTGCGAATACCACCACCTCACAGTAAGCACTGGGTAAAGACAAAGCAAACACTGTCCAGCAGTCAGAGTTGGCTGGCTTGGTAAAAACACTCAACTGTTCGGAAGCTTTTTTTCCTTTTCATTCACTGGAGGTCTCCTCCTCTGCTGCTCCTCAAAACCTCCCTCTTATTTTTAATAGGAAGAAGTACCATGCATTTGCCTTCTAAGATTATGTGCACTTTGGGACAAGGATTGTGCCTCTGTATATGTTTAGGAAGTGGTTGGCTCAAATTATTAATGTTGTGGAGGTTCTCAAAGTCTTGTCTTGTTCAGGGCCTCCTCTTGAGATTTCCTTTGTCCTGGGAACTTTCACAGTGGCAGGGGGAGCTAGGAGAGAGCTGTGTCTGGAACTGTCCTTGCCACCTTGAACATCAGCTTGAGATGCAATCAAGAGCGATGCGAGTGATCTTTCTTCCCCACTAGGAGCTAAGAACTAGGGGGCCCATGAGCTAGATCCAAGAAAAGACTTAAAGTGCATAAAGCAGGACTTAAGTATGCAAGTCTGAAATTGTGATCCAAAACCTCACCTCAGCAGGTGAGGAATAGGTTAAATCGATCTGTAAAGTGTAATGTGTGTCTGTACCCTTTAGTGTTAGGTCTCCAGGAACCTGAAGGTCTGCTTTTGGGCAGAAGTGCCTCCTGCCTGCTGGGCTCTTGGTACTAGAATCTATCACATATACAAACCCTATTGGGATAAAGGCACTAGATCTAATTCCTCTCTGTCTCTCTTCTGATGTGCCCAATCCACTAGTTATTCTCAGACTATGCATGACAGATTAGGCTCTGCAGATAAAGTAGCCATTGTGGATAGCCCAGAGTAGCTCCAGTGGGAACCCTAAAGCACCTCACTGGAATCAGGTGGGTGGGTACTTATGTTTACTGGTGCTGGCACATGCCCCCCACCACAGTACAGACAGGCCCTATGCATCTACAGACTACATGTAGTACTTTCAGGATGAGATGGCAGCTAAGCAGTGGTTTTGAGGAGCACAGTTTTGGATGAGGGCACCTAAAGTGACAGGTGCTTATGTCCTTCCTCTGTCTTCCTGTGGCTTTCAATTTGGGACCTCACACTTGCACTTAACTCATCTAGGCATGCCCAACTGAGTGAGTGGGCCACTCCATTTTATGTTTAATACTGAATGCAATAGTTCCTTTGATTTGAGATTATGTTCTGGATTAAGGCAATTATTGTAACAATCGTTGCTTTTCAAAAGATGCTACATATAAAATAAGATTTTATGTTAGTGGATTTATAACAGCTGAAGATCTGACCTTGAGGGTTTTACAAGATTGGGTAGAAACTGTTTATGCAACATGGTTATTTTTAATGTTTTTTTTCAGACAAGCTGTTCTGAAATACTCAGCCAGGCTAGAGAAGCAAGAATACAGCAATGCTGAACCTCCTTCGTGGTTTGGGTATAATAAGCCTAGTACTGTGGTCAAGCCCCAGAAGAAACACACAACAGGACCTGAAAAAGCAAAATTGTGGCCTGGGACTGAAAATGAAGAAGCTGCATAATATCTTTTATATTTTAACCATACTTTTTTTTAAGGGAATAGTCATTTAATAAAAGGAGTTCTTTCTAGTTGAACTGGTAAGAGTTAGTGCAAGTCAAGTCTTTGTAGCAGAATAGTTGAGGCCTTCATTTTAGGGCTGTCAACTAAACACCGTTAACAAGCACAATTAATGCATTAATTTGTTTTTGCATTAATTTTTTTAACGTGTTAATTGCTACTGCTGGGTCCTGTGTACTGGGGGAAAAGTGGCCCATCCCCCTCGCTGATGCTCAGCCCCCCCCCCCCCCCCCAGCAAGCAGTCAGGCAGGGTCCTGGAAGCAGACTTGGCAGTGCAATGCAGGTAAGTGTATGCGGGGGGGGGGCAGGGGTTGGGGGGCAGGTGCCTGCTGGCCCTAGAGGAAGCTATCTGGGCACTGGGTCTATGGTAGGGAAGGTTGAAGTGCCCTTTGAGGGTTGTGGGGAGCTCCAGCATTGGAGCTGGTGCCCCATGCTTGCAGGGGCCAGGCGTGCAGGGCACCAGCAGTGCCAGGGGACTGCGAGTCAGGGTCAGGAGCGAGGGGCACCAGCAGTGCCAGTGGATGGGGGCTGGGAATGAGGTGTGCCCCCACCACATGTCCACTTTTTTGGAAATGAAAATATGCTAACCCTGGTTTTGACCCTTTTCACATACTGTACTTAATCACTAGGCAGAAATTAGCAGTTCTACTCTGTTCTTCTGGCAGTGAGTAAATAGCAGAAAGATATAATGGAACAAAGCAAAATTTGGGTGTCTTGAATAGGAAGATTATAAAAAAAACTTGCTGTTGGTTCTGTGGATAAAAAGACTTATCTATAGCTATTGCAAGGCTGAACTCCAATATAATTGAAGCACCTCAAGTCTGCAGTACTACCTACGCGCTAAACATGCTTTTGGCACCATTCCTCTTGCTGCAGATAATCCAATGACAGCAAATGAATCCTGAGAGCTGAGACACAGTACACTTACTGAGTTTCAGAATCATTGCAAGCCCATGGATAAAATGAAGTACAACAGCTTAACCAATGCTACTGCAAAATGAACAGCTATGTACTGCAGACCACTCAACATTGTAAATGACAGAGGGCTGATAGAGGTTATTCAAACTGCATCTTTTAATCAGTCAAACCTTGCCCTTCCGAGGAACCAGTGCATCACAAATACATGACCTATATCACAACAAGAAGGCTACTAATTTGGAGCTGTTGAAAAATGCACAAGATGTTGCTTTGACTGGTGATCACTGGACATCCTTGAGTAATCACAGTTATCTTGGAGTCATGACACCTGACTGATGCTGCATGGACACTGCAGTCATTTACTTTAACAGTAACGCATATCAGAGATATCATGCTGAAATGTGAAGAGAGTTTCTTGGATGTTACAAGAACAGAATATTCAAGAAAAGGTAACAGCAATTAGCACTAACAGTGCATGTGATCTGATAGCAGCAGCCAGTCCCTTGCCTTTTGAACACATGATGAGCATCGCTCACAGTCTGCAGTGATCCATCACAGTACTGCTCAGTACTGGTGGTTTTGAAAATGTGCTGGCAAAACGTAGAAAAATTGTGGACCATTTCAAACACAGTCCAGGTTAACAGCGCAGAGCTAAAAACACAACAAGCTGCAAATGGACAGAAACAAGAACCTCTCGGTCAAGATATTTCTACCAGACAGAATTCCACATTGAGTGTGGTTCAGCGCCTGCTAAGAAATAAAGCCGCTATCACAACCATGTTAGCTCTTCAAAAGCACAATCTATCAGTGCTCCCAGGTAGTGATTCTGGAAAACTGCAAAAGCTAGACACACTACTTAAGTCCTGCAGGTTTATGACTGAACTCTTTTGAGAACTGTATGTCTCCTTCTCCGTGATTTTACCTGCACTCTGCTATGTATTTCATGTTATAGCAGTCTCGGATGACGATCCAGCACGTGTTGCTCAATTTAAGAACGCTTTCACTGCAGATTTAACAAACTGCAAAGAGGGTAGCAATATGAGATTTCTAAATTAGCTATAGCACTCAACCCAAGGTTTAAGAATCTGAAGTCTGAGAGGGACAAGGTGTGGGACATGCTGGCAGAAGTCTTAAAAGAGCAGCACTCTGACTTGGAAACTACAGAACCCGAACCACCACAGAAAAATCAGCCTTCTGTTGGTGGCATCTGACTCCGATGATGAAAACGAAGGTGTGCTGGTCCACACTGCTTTGGATCATTATAAAGCAGAACCTGTCATCACCATGGAGGCATGTCCTCTGCTATGGTGCTTGAAGCATGAAGGGGCTTATGAAAGTTTAGCACAGCTAGCACATAAGTACCTTGCAACGCGGGCTACAACAGTGCTGTGCGAATGACTGTTCTTGCTTTCAGGTGACATTGTAAATAAGAAGCATGCAGCATTATCTCCCGAGAACATAAACCAACTTGTTTGTCTAAGTGATTGGCTGAAATCAGCAAGGTTCATTGAAAAATGCTATTTCTTTTGTTTACCATTTTTACAGTGCAATTATTTCTAATAAAAATAATAATAAAAAGTGAGGACTGTACAGTTTGTATTCTGTGTTGCAATTGAAATCAATTTATTTGAAAATATAGAAAAACATCCAAAAACATTTATAACAAATTGGGATTCTATTATTATTTAACTATGCGATTAATATTGTGATTAATCACAAATGGGTTTTTTATCTCACAGTTAGTTGCGATTAATTTTTTTTAATCGTTTGACAGCCCTACTTCATTTACAATTACTGCAGAGAAACAGAATTACTAACTTTCACTTCAGGTTAAATTTCAGATGATGATTCAAGCTGCCTTCACTTTTCAGTAGCGAGGAGTATGCATGAAGACAGCACTGGATACTGCTCTGGAATGTAAATGGGTCTGGCGTCACCATTATGCTAAATGGGGCCTCAGCCAGCCCCAGTGAAGGGACAAACATCTTGAATTTGCACAGACCTCAGCACCTTCCAGGATTAGCTCTCATCAAGGACAGTGTTTTGTGACCGGATACACTCTTTGTGCCATCGATGGCCACATATGCACCCACTGCAGTAATTAAAGCTCAGGCTCACAAGCTGAAAATCTCTCTCTCCCAGTAATGTTAGCAGTCTGTGATATACATAACAAAAATCACAGAGTTGGAAGGTACCTCAGAATCATGTCTTCCAACCCCTGCACAAATGCAAGATGTGTTATTGCTCAGCCAACACAGACAACTTACAGTGGAGCCAGAAATGGACAGAATTAGAAGAGTTGTAGCTCTCTGTCCACCTTCAGAAAAAAACAAATATTAGAAAGCTAAGAGAAAGTGGTCTGAAAGAGCATAGAGCAAAAGAAGTGCTCATAGCATGGCTCCAAGAGGGTGCAAAGACAGTATTTTGGGTGAAGCTCTGTTTGATCCTACTGTGTTCAGAGAAACAGGACTTGTGAGCATATATTATAATTAAAGGGATCACAACAAAGTAGTACTTGATTCTCCCATCAATTGCTAGTATAAGCAACTCACAAAGCTGCTAACATTGGGAACTAACTGCTCAGGACAAAAGGAGTCACAATTATTTTGTGTGTGTTCCAATAAAAAGCCACTCTCATGAGAATAAAGGACAACGGTCCAGGAAGAAGAGGGAGGGAGATTTTGACTCTGGACAACCTCAGAACCAACTCCATGGTCTTCAATGATCTGCCTTTTCAAAGAGGGAGAAGAAGAAAGTTTAAATGAAACTGCTGCTCTCAGGCTGGAGCAGCAAAACTCTTCCCATTGCTTAGTCAGTATTATGCAGTCAGCCATGTCATCCAGTAAATCCCCAGTGTCACAACTGATTACTTTTCTTTCAAAGCAAGATGAAGACCAATATTGGGAGACTCAGAAATAGCTGTTTTGGCTTTGGTCTTTATTTTCAAGTGTCAATGCAGAACACTTCTGAGAAAAATTCAGGAACACAAACCTTAAAAAAAAAATAAAAAAAAATCAAAAAAAAAAATCAGGAAATTCAAGCTTCTTATAATGAGCTTTACTTAACTTGAAATGACAAATATAAAAAATAATCAAAGTCCCTCACAACAATAAAAAAGCACAAATATATATCAGTGGGGGCAGGCAGTGACTGTTGTGGCTTTTAATTTGACTGAACTAAGGTTAAACTAGTCCTCTTTTATCTACTGTGTATGGATAACTGAGCAAATATAACTGAGGGTAGTGCAGCAGCAGATAATTTTAAAAAGTGCTTCTATGATTTACAGTACCTCCGGGCACATGAACGGGCCAATTACAACAGAGCTGGAGCTGGGAACTCCTCTTTTCCTCGCTTCCCTCACATAATCAACATTAGGTCACAAAATTTTTAAATGTGCTACCACAAATATTTATAGCTCTGTGACTAACACCACCTTACAGTATGCAGACAGAGAGGCTTTTCGAAGTAGAGGCCACAAGCAAAGTCAGACCCACTGGAACATGCACAAAGCCAGAGACAGCTCCTTCCCTGAAATGCTCACCTTCTAGATGGGCAAGGCAGGAAAGAACTCGTTTACTTCCCACTGTTTGGGGGTTTGTTACTTGTTCTGCTTCTGCAAAACTGAAAATGAAAACAGACTTTGGTTCTCAAGCAGCAGTGCCTGGGAAGCTTATGCTGTAGGGAATGGTTCCTTGTCAAAGGGCCAGATGAGATGCATTTTAAACTGTTTTCTGAAAGTCCAGTTTTAGGAGGCTGCCCTTTTAATCAGCCAGATCACTAGTGCTTTTTATATTGATTTCAAAATATTTTTTTCAAATTCTTGTGCTTGCAACTGTGTAAATCACTTAAATAAGGGAGTGCCCAAGCACCCAGGAGCATGGAGAGTCTTCCTCAAGTCTCTCTCGCATGCCTGTGCCAGCCTCTCTGACAACAGGTCAGCCTCCTTGACAACAGGTTCCTCTGCTGCCGCTTCATGCCTGCTCCTCAGAGGAAAGAGCAGATCTTACAGCCCCCCAAGTACATGGATGGAGCCAAAGAGAATCATCATTGCCTCCTGCTAGGCACAGTCACTACATTTCTTGTAATCAACAACAAAAAACAGACAGTGCGGTACTGGGGGGTGATTAGTACTCTGACAAGTAATGACGCCTTTTCACTCAAGTGGGTTTTTTTATTCCATATACTGTCTCATTATAACCAAGTACAAGACTTCAGACAGACTGAATCAGTACTTGGGGTATGACTAATGCCTTCCAGTGCACAAGTCAATTCATCCCTGAAAAGATTTTCCAAAGGAGGAATGTTTTTTGCAGGATTTCCCTAAACAAGTCATTCAGAAATTGCCAACATACCACCATGCTAATTAGAAGGAAATTGAGAAATGGTATATGGTCGAAATGGCACAGGGAAGTCATGCTTGCCAATGCTAATGAAACCTCAGACACATTTTTTGCTAAAACACAGTCGTGTCTGTAGAGAGAAAGGGCACTGAGCTTAGAGCAAAGGAGAGCCAGGACAAGACAAGGAAGAGATGGGAATCATCAACATTTGCTGTTCACTGGATGCCATCAGTGACAGCTGTGCGCTATGCATGGAGAGCAGCAACGTGAACACACAGATGTCAGGTCCAGAATTCCCAGTCCTTAAGGAAATAAGTCTCATAACTGTTCATAGCCTACACTAAGCAGCATGTATTTTTTATCCTCCACTCTCAGGTGACACTTTGCTTAAATGCAGCTGTAACTTGGAGTTGCCTGTTAATTTGGTGCTGGGAGCATCCTGGAAGACGAAAAAATTTCAACCCCTATGGCAAAAGAAGAAGAGATGGAGAGAATTAGCCTTAAGATACCTAATGTTAAATAAAGAAGGAGCTCTATCCATTAAAGTACCAGTGGTAACAGAGTATCATTATAACATCAAGAAAGATTTAAAACTTTGAAGATGTCTGGTGTGAATCCACCGCGGGGCAAAAGGGATAGGGCTTTGCCACACAGCAGCTGCTCTGCAATAACTGCACAGGTGCTTGCTCTTATTTAGTAGCTGGGGAAGCTAAACCGTGGCAGCTTAGCCTTCAGTGAAAGACGGGTAAATTCAATTTAGCTCCACCTGCCCATCGAGAAAGACCACGCGCACGGGCAGTTACCACAGAGCAACTGACAGTAAAGCTTTTTACGTTCAGGAAATTGTTGATACGTCTATACCCTAACACAGGGGCAGGCAATTATTTCAGGCAGAGGACAGCTTAATGAGGTTTGGTGACCTGTCGAGGGCTGCATGCGTAGCCCCACCCTTTGACAGGGGGTCTGCCCCCTGGACACCATCTTGGGAACAGAAGTCCCACCCCTAACCCCTGACCACTGCCATCAGAAATTCCTCCCCTTGGCCCCTGGAAATACTCCTTTTTGGATCAGAAAAAACCAAATCATACACTAAAAGTCAAATACCTACTATAACACATTTTGATTTTATTACAAAAAATATTTTTGTCATGATCTGTGTTCATGTACTTTATGTAGAGGTCTTTGCATAATAATTCAAAAATAAATTCTTAGTCTTTTATGTTGTGGGGGTGGTTTGGAGTGTGCGTTTGCATGTGTATGTATATGGTGGGGGAGGTGTGTATGGTGAGGTGGGGGGGTTGTGAAGAGGTGTGGCTGTGTGGGGGGCATACAGTATGTTGGGTGGTTGTGTGGCATTTGTGGGGTGTGGGTGTGTGGCTCTGGAACACGCTGTCCTCTCCTGCAGTCAATGCAGGCAGCACTGGGGGTGGGTGTCTGTGTGTGTAGTTTGTGGGGTGTGAGGACTCCCCCACACTCCCCCCATGGCACAGCAGCAGTTGGGGGCGCTGGTGCCTGGCTCTGGCCAGTGCTGCATGTCACAGCGAGAGGTGCAGCCCCTGCCAGGCCATTTGTTTCCCTGGCACTCCCTGCACTCATGGGGCACAGGAGGGAAGCCCCTGCCTGATCCACTGCCTGGGGCTTCCCTCCTGTGCCTCGTGCACGTGGGGAGTGCTGGGGAAACAAGTGGCCAAGCAGGGGTTGCACTCCTGGCAGCACTGGCTGGAGCCAGAAGCCAGGCACCAGTGCCAAGCAGGGAGCACCCTGCTGCTGCCTGCCAGGGCTGTGTGCCATAGGGGGGGGGGGAAGTGTAGAAGGGTTCCTATACCCCTCCCCCCTGCTCACCCGAGCTCCATGCTGCTGCCCCCCACCTGGGCACAGGCTCTGCGCTATAGCCAGCCCAGCCCTACCCCCATCCCCGCTTCCCTACCTGCTGCCCGGAGGGAGCCAGAAGCCAGGGAAGCCTGCAGCAGCAGCAGCCGCCCTGTCCGTGCTAGCGGGGCTGGCCCTTCTGCCCACAAGGGTGGGAGAGAGGCATAACAGGATATGGTGGGGGTGGGTGTAGGCCCCTCCTTCCCACCTTCCTGGGCAGAAGGGATGGCCAGGCACAATTCACTGGGGAACGCCATGGGGTGGATGAAAGTGCCAGATCCAGTCAGCGGGCTATATTTTGCCCACCCCTGCCCTAACACCTACCATCCTACGACAAGTCGTACATCTCTTAGAGCCAAGATGCCTATCCGCAACCAAATATGAACTGCAGTTCTGAAAGTGGTTTTATCCTATACGTGATACCAAATAACTCAACAAAAGGAAAATCTCAGCATTGTGTACAAAACAAGCCTTTCACGTAAGGAGACAGTATTTTATTTACATTTTTGAAACACTGGCGAACAAGCCAACACCGCAAAGTTCAAATCACAGTTCTTGTATCTTCAGGCATCAGCCCATACGTATTAAAAAAGTTTGCAGCAGTGGCTTTTCAATTTCTATTTGAACATTACTGCCTTTCAGAACACACAGGACTAAGTGTAAGGCTGTTTCATACAGCAGCTAAACAGCCGCAGCCATTTAATATATGAAAATGTTGGGCAAAAAAGGCCTCACATTTTATGTATGTTTTACACTAAATATAGTATAAGAGTAGTATTGACATAATGTTACAGTCTTTACAGTTCCTCGTCTTAAATACCTTTGGCCTGTTCTTCAAGGGACTTGCAACTTGATGGACTGGAACCAGCTTTGGCTTTTAAGATGTATGGTGCCATTTTGTGTGGTCGCTTTAATCCATTGGTCTGTGTCATTCAGTTGATTCATGTGACCTGAAAAACAGAACTGCATTCAGTTTGCTGATCTGACAAAATTAACAATTTCTTTCTTTACTGGGAACTCTGCAGTGGAATTTTATTGGCAGAAACTGAGACAGACTTTTAAAATGTGGGTGTCCTTCATAATTTCTCTCTTGATCTGATATAACTGCTCTCTGCCATTTCATAGATTTCATAGACATCAGGGCTGGAAGGGACCTCGGAAGATCATCGAGTCCAGCCCCCCGCCCAAAGGGCAGGAAGTCAGCTGGGGTCATAGGATCCCAGCAAGATAAGCATCCAGTTTCATCTTGAAGGTGTTCAATGAAGGCGCTTGAACCACCTCCGGTGGCAGGCTGTTCCAGACCTTGGGGGCTCGGACAGTAAAGAAATTCTTCCTTATGTCCAGCCTGAAACGGTCTTGTAGTAGTTTATGACCATTCGACCTCGTCATCCCTTGGGGCGCTCTGGTGAACAAACGCTCCCCCAGATACTGGTGGTCACCCCTGATAAACTTGTAGGTGGCCATCAGATCACCCCTGAGCCTGCGCTTTTTCAGGCTAAAGAGCCCCAGGGCTCTCAGCCTGTCATCGTAGGGTCTGCTTCCCTGACCTCTGATCATGCGCGTGGCTCTTCTCTGGACTCTCTCAAGCTTCTCCACATCCTTTTTGAATTGTGGAGCCCAAAACTGGACGCAGTACTCCAGCTGCGGCCTCACTAAGGCCGAGGACAGGGGGAGAATGACGTCCCGGGATTTGCTTGAGAAGCATCTATGGATGCAAGCCAGCGTTTTGGTCGCTTTACTAGCCGCCGCATCGCATTGCAGGCTCATGTTCATCTTGTGGTCAGTGATGACCCCCAAGTCTCTTTCTTCCATAGTGCTAGCCAACATAGCACTGCCGAGCCTATAAGGATGCTGCGGGTTTTTTTTCCCAAGGTGGAGAACCTTGCATTTATCGGCGTTGAACACCATGGGGTGTTCAATTTCCATGGGGAGGCCAGAGTTTGGCCAGTGCTCCCCCAAAGTAGGTGGGCATGCTAATGTCCAAACCTGTGCAGGTCGCAAGACCTTTGGAGATCTCTGTACAATGTCCCAGAACATGTCCACTGTTGCTCAGTCTCCCTGACAACATAGAGCTCACAGAAGCTCTGCTTGTTTTGCTTCCTTTCCTACATGTGGACCAAAGCTCGTGATTCCCCTCCTTCACCAGGCCAACAACATGGAATCACTGACTTTGAAATGCACTGGATTAAAAAAAATAAAAATAAAATGACATTCATGATGAAGCAGGACAAATGGTGCCTGTGATATTTTACAGTGTTGAAGTTCTAGTTACAGATTTCATAGACATTAGGGCTGGAAGGGACCTTGCAAGATCATCAGGTCTAGCCCCCTGCCCAAAGGGCAGGAAGTCAGCTGGGGGCAGATGACCCCAGCAAGATAGGCATCTAAGCAGTTCTTAAAAGGTATCTAGAGTAGGTGCTTACATTGGGTATGGTTCAAACTTCTCCACATACTTTTTAAAGTGTGGAGCCCAGAATTGGATGCAGTACTCCAGCTGCGGCCTCACCAAGGTCAAGTACAGCGGGAGGATGACTTCTTGGGTCTTGCTTGAGATGCATCAGTAGATGCAAGCCAGAGTTTGGTTTGCTTAGCTAGCTGCGGCTTCGCATTGGTGGCTCATGTTCATCTTGTGGTCAGTCATTACCCCCAAGTCTCTTTTGGTCGTGTTGCTAGTGAGTGTAGCACTGCCGAGTCTATAAGTATGATGTGGGTTTTTTGTCCTGAAGTGGAGCTCCTTACATTTCTCAGTGTTGAATGTCATCAGGTTTTGATCTGCCCACCTTGCGAGCCTGTCCAGGTCATCCTGAATTGCCAGCCTATCCTCGAGAGTGACCCCACTTCCCCATAATTTGGTGTTATCCACGAAATTTGCCAGTCCACTTCTGACACCTGAATCCAGTTCATTTATGAATTTATTCATAGATTCATAGATGTTAGGGTCGGAAGGGACCTCAATAGATCATCGAGTTCGAC